AAGGCCACAGCTATGGAGGATCATATACTGCACACAAGAACAGCGAGATCAAACACCGCAAGACTCAAAAGATCCAACTTCATCAAAAAAAGCAGAAAAATCCAAAGATCCCTACAGGACCATCTACCAGCCACAGTTAACATGCTGAACCACACCCCAGAGGCACCATCATGGGAAAAGAAAAACACAAACATATCTATACACACGTCCATTCCCATGTTCACCACAAAAGATGACCACAGCGACCTGAGCAAGAAATCCCTCACCCTGTCCATGTTTGAACAAAGATACCCACGAGAAGCATGGATAAGGATCTATACAGACGGATCTGCCACTGATGCTGTGAAAAGTGGAGGAGCCGGAGTGTACGTAGTTCCCAAATGGACGATGACAAGCAGTAGCAGAGGCAGTCCCAACAGGGCGACATTGTACAAATCACAGGGCAGAGACAGAGGCTCTAATACATGCAGCAAACATCATCAAGAATGGGGTAGATCCCCAAAGCCAAGTAGTATTCCTAACAGATGCCATGTCAGTACTTCAGGCAATCACTTCCGGCAAACTACCGAGGCTACGAAAAATAATTGAGGACATCCCAGTCTGAGGATCATGCTGCAGTGGATTCCATCACACTGTGGTGTCTTACTAAATGAGCAGGCAGACAGGATGGCCAAACTAAGAGCACAGAAAGAGCAACCAGACAACAGCGTTAACTACACAGAAATAAAAACTATTATAAATACACTATTTAAAGCACCTCAGACACCAGATAGCTACCATGAGCTGTCCCGCCAAGAACAAGTGATTATCTTCAGACTAAGGACACAACACACAAGACTGAGACAACATATGTACAAATGTTTTAAACTAGTACAATCACCAAAATGCCAGTGTGGAGAGGCGGACCAAACTGTAGAACACATCCTTCAGCACTGCAAGACACACAGGGCCCTGAGACAGGAAACGTGGCCAACCCCACTGACGCTACAAGAGAAGCTATACAGGCTGCAAGTTGAACTGAGCAGGACGGCCCAATTTATGACAGATACCAGACTTCAAGTGTGATGCGATCGAGAAGAAGAAGAAGAAGAAATAATGTAATAATGATCAGTAGCAGAGGGGGGGGAAAAAGACTGTGACGCGTTTGTATCTGCGACGTTTAACGCTAGTGCTCCTCCCCTCCCCTCCCCGACACGCACACACAGCCACACGTGTGCAGGCCGCCCATCTGACCCCAACACACGCCAGAGTAGACAAGTGCGCATGCCAACAACAGGCCGCTGATTGGTCGCATGCAATTGGCTAAGTGAATAATGGTTCACGATGCATGCAGGTGCAATGGGTGGTTTCTCGGAACAGATAAAGTTCGTTGTGGGAGAAAAATGAGCGAAGCCACGTCTGCGGTGGCTGTTCACCCTGGAAGCGACCTCGTTGAATCCGAGCTCGCTGATTTAAGTGCTCGTTGAATCCGGATTACTTTTATTGATTTTAAAGAAGAAGAAAAACGGGGAATCTATCTCATCTCGTTGAATTAGAGTTCCACTGTAATTCACATCTGACATCACAAAAAAGATAACACATTAAAAGATAAAAAAAGGAACAAAGTTATACTGAAAAGTTCACTGGAGGTAGAAGACAATATTTTATTTAGAAATAATAGCAATTAACCCTTTTACTGCCAGACCTGCTTTTTACTCCTTCTAAAGAGCTTTAAAAGATTTTGGGCCAGGTAGTGAAAGGGTTAATGGGTTATGTCACAATCTTTAATAAAGCTGTAACATTCAAAGGTGAGATTTTCTTTTAAACGATAGAGCGGTATAACATAGTAGTACTCAAACTCTCTTCCCATCTGGAAATACTCTCCAGACACAGAGAACAAAGAGGGACAAAACTATTCTATTCAAGAAAATAGTCAAAAATGTACATACCGAACACACACATAGCGCAATATGCACATAGCACACAGATTTTCAGGTACCAAGTTGTTTCTTATATACGTATATTCTTCGTATTTATAACATGTACTTAGTGAAATTTGCACATAACGAAAAGATTTCCATGTTCAGCCCATTTTGTTATGTGTGTGTTAGATTGTACATACAAAGCCTCTCATGTGACATTTTAAGTAAAACACGAGCAGAGTACTTATGAAAATACCTTGTCTTGTACCAACATCTGACTATTAAACACATAAACTACATACCAAAGAGACAACCATGCATAATTTGAACTCAAAACATTTTTCGTAATTCAGTCAATATATTCCTCATATAATTTTCTAACAAATAATAAACACATTAAAAAGAGTTTTATGGGGCGTTTTTGTTGACAAAGAATTTTGTTCACGAATGACACTTCTTTCTTACGAAACAGTATTTTTCATATATCTCATTAACTTTTAGGCCAGATTTTAGTCATCATTGGAGACTTTCCGGTACCATAACTTATTGACACGATAAATCATACACACTTGGCTGGCCTCTTGCTAAATCTTCCGGACAACAAATGTCAAATTTAAGCAGCGTTCATGCAGCAGAGTTCACTTTTTTTCTCTTTCTTTTTATTTTAGTCACAAAGAGAAATGTTTATGGTCCATTTCACAATACTTGCTAAAATATTTTTTTTTAAACATGTGCTTCTACACAAAGCAAAGAACAGACATAAAGTATAAAGAGGAAGAGTGCAACTTCCCTTAAAGAAGCTCCATACAAAGTTTTATTCCCATTCATTGAGAAACTGTTTAAATCACAATATGCCCATTCTCACACTGGCTGTTGGGAGTTGTCATTCATCATTTTGGGAAGAAGCTTTGGCCGCTGGAAGCAGCCTCTCAGGTTCAATATCTACCATGGAAATATGCAAAGTACTAAAGCTCATATGTAGAAAAAAGGCTCATAAAGGTGTTCATCCCAATCTGACTGAAAAGTAGAGCAAAAACAATTGCTCCTTTCGATAGCACTGTCAGATTACCTGCCTAATTCTCAGTGGCAAGATATGACATTAAGATAACCATTAGCCAATATAAAGACGAAATGAAAAGAACTACATCATCAGCACAATACAGTTTGATCGAAATTAAACCATCACAAAATTACTTTTCAAATCAATCTGCTTCGGGTAATAAACTGACCATTGGTATCTTAACGAAATCAAATCCAAAGTAAAAATGTCAAATAGGTACAAATAGTTATAAGAAAATAACGCATGGGTATAAGCCACAACACGAAATATTAAAGTAAACGTAACATTTTGTATAGATAAATGTATATTATATACATGTATAGAGAATAAGTTTAGTACAAGAAAGTACAGCTGAAACAAAATTAAATTATTATGTTTATGAGTGTAATGTATGCACACAGGTATGCCCATTCATGTGTTATTCAAAATGAAATAATAATCAACTAAAAAAATAACCCCACCAAGAAAAAAAAAAATCAAATCAAGTCATCAACTGGTAAAAAAATGTTATTAAAAAGATCATGGGGGCAATTATAAGTAGCAAAAGTGGTAACAGTAATATTTCAAGAAAGAGGTATGTACATGTACTGGAAACATAGACAACAAGTTTGTTTTGTTTGTGTTTGAGTTGATTGCCCCATGAGATCTGAACTAAAGACAGATAGTAGCAATTGTGAGGCACTATCCTAGCAGGTGGTTTCACTTTGCATGAGTTGAAGCATGCTCGCAATTTATGCAGCTCGTGGTATTGAACCAGATAAGGAAACCCAAAGTTTAAAAGTTCACGCACATCTTAAGAAATAAAATGTTCCAATTTCATATCATGATGACACCACAACAGAACATTAAGCGACCCCAGTGCTTTCTTGTCATATCTGCATTTTTAGTAACAGTGAAAATAGTTCGTAACATAGAGGGAGCTTAAGAAGATGTCACATTTTCACTGTTTAAAAAAATGGAAATACGACAAAAAAGCACTGATGTCGCGATTAGCTGATATATGTGTGTAACAAAATGAATTTTGTTTAATAAGACATCAGTTGTTTTAAACTTTCTAAACCTCAAGTTCTTTGAAATAACCAGAACGGTCAAAATGAATAAAAAGTTTAGTTTTTCACGAATTACATGTTGAGAGTGTCATTCGCATTATGTTTAAGATTCAGCAGAAGCTAATAAATGAAAATAATTAAGCTGTTATTGATACAATATGGTGTCCTTAATAATGAAGCTGGTTTCTTCAGATGAGATCTTGTATAAAAATTTTAATAGGACATAAATTCTCAGGACGTAAACACTGTTCAAATACATGTGATAACAAGCTATGTCACCCCGTTGAGAAGCCACACTCTCCATACAATCTAAGCTTTAATGTCATGATGTGAAAAGAGAGCACAAAACAGGAATTAGAGCTAAATGAGTAGTCAAAATGTTGATGATAAATGGGGTGGGCACAAAAGCTGTTCATGAAGAATTTTTTAAATTCAGCGTTAGTTTCCGGGAAAGACCCCGAAAATTCAACTTGAATAATATTATTGACTTTAATATCATACTAACAGAGTATTGTACAGTAGACAGTAAAACGACAAACATTGAAAGACAGAGATGTCAAAGTTTATTCCAATTCCTCACAGGGCTGGCTGGTCTACACAAGAGCTCCTTTTCCAATGATGATTTATCATTAGCAGTGTGTGTGTTGTGTTTACGCTCATTTGCAATATCCCTGCACTCCATTTCCTAAAAAAGCGTCAAAATTTAAAAATTTGAAATATAGGTGGCCTTACTTGCCCAGCAACACAATTTAGATAGATCTAGGCTGGATCAATAACAACAAGGTAGATCTAGGAGGCGGGTTTCCAACCCGGGCTGAGAAGGATACAACAAGATACTCTATAAAAATTTACTCCACACCCAGGAATCGAACTTGGATCTTCTGCGTGTGACAGCAAAGTGCCTAACCACTACACCACAGACACCGCTTACAAGAGCTTTATTGCACTTGACACATGACTGTAAATGAAAAACAATGTACAATACAATTGTTTTGTTTCTTTTTGCACTTCAGAGTACAGTCAGCCAGCAATACAAGGATAAGGAGAAAATAGATCATGGCGGTGAAGTATTCGTGCCACCGAGTTAGATTTTTTCATTTTTGTGCACATCTTATAAGGGATGCTTACTTCTTGCTTGTGTGTGTGTGTGTGGGGAGGGATGTCAAGACTCCAGCTCACTCAAAAAAATATTCATTACCAATCACAAAAATAAAAAAGGAAACAACAAAAAAACCAGAAAAAAAGAATTGAACTCCCCCGGCCCAGCTGTCCTGAAGAAGTCCTGGTGACAGTGTTCAAGATTTCTAGAACGATGGAAGTTTGCGGAGAAGTAACAGCCTCCATCTTAGTCGTCCGAGGAGTTGACCAGGCTCCGATACTGGGCTCGTCGTTGGTCTCTCTTGACCACAAACATCGTCAACAGGAAGAGGAAGCCACTCAGAGCAAAGAGGCCGGGGTACAGGATGTACAGGGCACCTGTGGCAATAAATTACACTTGTTGAGTAAACCGACGCACATCAACACAATAGCAGAAACTATTAAGCACCTTTGGTAAAAAATTTAATTTGTTTAAATAAATAGACGCACATCAGCACGATAACAGAATATATAGAGCATGTGCAGACAAAAATTATTTTTGTGCTTTTTAGTTTTATAGTATTTACAACACAACAAGGTCACATAAGCGTTGAAGATGTTACAAGAGAGTAACAAAAAAACCTAAAAAAAGAAGGAATGAGAGAAAAAGATGACAGATACATGTTTGATACGGAAGAAGGGGCATACCGCACCAGAGCATCGGCCAATCTCCCACAAATTATTTGTGTGTGTGCCTAAAGAAAGGTACCAAAAGTCGGATTTTAACCATTTTTAGTGAAGGGTTGTACATAATTGGACATTTAATGCTGAACACAATGGTTTTGAAATTTTTGAGATATCTCAAGTAGTTTTGCCAGGTAGGGTATAACTATTACATTTTGAGAAAATTAGCTTTTAATTAGGTTTAGAACATATGCAAATTTGAAAAAAAAAGAAGATTCAATAATTTTTCTAATGTATTTATTCATGGAAAATTCATTTCCAATTCGGCACTTTGTTGACATCGATGTCATGATGAGAATTCAAAGGTAAAACATAGCGGAGAAGATAAAACATGCTTCAAAAATAGATTTTAACACCTTTTAAAAGCAGTTTTCATTATCTTTTTAAAACATACCCTACCCTCAAAATAATTCAAAATAAAATATTTAGAAGTTAAATAAATGAAAACTCTTTTAACACATTGTTAAAAAAAAAGGAGGAACTATCATTTTTTAATCGAAACACATTTCTGTTAAAAAAAAGTGATTTTTTTGTCATAACAGCCTATAGCTCAAACTGGTCTGAGGCGACTTTTGGTACCTTTCTTTATGCACACACACATTTGTTTGTTTAAATAATCGCAAATTGACACACGTCAGAGTTCCAGTCCCAAGTGGGGCAAATTTTTATAGAGTATCTCAGTCTTTCTGCTGGAATGTTGTACCCCTCTCAGCACGGGTTGGCCTCGACAGGTAGAGCCGGAGGCCCGCTGACTAAATGATCTAAACTGTGTAAAAACACCTATAAAAATTTTCACACAAGTAGTTTTACAGGTATTGTGTTTTAAACACAAAACGCATTTTTAGCATTAACCCTTAAGATTCTGGTCTCTGATAAATGTTTGCCCGGTAAGCGCAATCCCGCGCGGCGCTCCACAGCTGGTCCCTGATCAGTCGTCGTCCCGCGCGGGCAACGCATTTCGTTTACGGCGGGGGCTGCATCTGTGTGCTAAAATGTGTGCGCGTCAATCTGCTTGTGCCTGAGTGTCCATCTCAAACTTACTGCATTGTTTTGCAACGCGAGGCGTTGGTAGAGATAACAGAGCGTCGGTTGAGACGTTCATCCAATGAAATATGAGCATTTTGACCCAGTTAGACACTTGAGGGACTCGAAAGGATATTCAGGAAATAGGACTTTCATCTTTCAATGCAAACACCTTTCCTCACTTTTCAAACGATCTAATTCTTACACCAAACGTTGTTTCCTGATGTAAATAATCATATTTGGTGGTTTTTGAACCATTGTCCTACCAGAGGGAGACATTTGAGAGCAACTGAATAAAAAAAATATTAGGAAATTATCCCATTTTTTTCCCCTTTCGAACGATAGCAGATAAGCAGCTGTTCGCAAGTTCATTCATAATAGGTGTGAAATCTGGAAAACTGTGGAAAAGTTATTCGATTTGGTGTAACTTCCAATCTCAGCGTCTCTGATCTACCGACGAGGGGATAATGGGATTATTCGTGTGATCGTAACACTTATTCATTGATCGTATCAGTTTGCTATAAAAGATGAGGTGTTTCCCTGACCTGCCGCGGCACGCTCGCGTGACCAGTGCCTGACCCCGGCGCCCCGCAGCACAAGCCCGCAGGCGACGTAAGTGGGTCATCGATCGATAAGAGCCCTCTTCCGGTTAACCCCGCAGGACTAGAGTTAATGATCAAGTTGGGACTGCCAAGAAAACTGACCTCTGAGTGCATCAGCCTTGGAGTAACCGTCACCCTCAAACGCTTCCTGTATGGGAGGCACCAGAAGCGGGACATTGCCGCCTATGTTAGAGATGATGAACAGGTACAGGGCAACGGCTGAGGTTCGGATCTCGCTTGGCACCAGTTCAACCCCAACAGCTAGGGTCACACCTACCCACATCTCACCTGAGGATGGGTCGATGTGTTGTTTGAGTTTGAATAAACAAGAGTAAAAAATCATTTTCAACTCCTAAGAATCTTCTGGAACAGAATTCCGCGGCCAACTTTTTAATCTGAACAATATATTCTAAGAAGTATTCTTGAATGATACCAATCAAAGAATAATTTCTCAGCTGAAACATGAACATCATTTCCTCCTTAAAAACCAAAGTTTCAGAAAATATACTTTATGCAGTAACCACAAAGTGATTCATGTTGAGAGATGGACACATGAAAATACCAAATTTGGGCTTTTATATTTTGTAGTACTCAAAGTTTCTCCTTATTTCAGAGCAAGTCACCTGCACTCTTTGAATACATTTATATTGAATTTTATCTTATTATCTTTGAATATTATATTTGAATTGAATTTTATCTTATTATCTCTGAACACATCTTGACTGCCCTGGCAAAATTCCCTACACTAAAGGACTCACCTAGAAAAATACTCTGTTGCCATAATAACAAAATGGGACATTACACGTCCTAAAAAATACAGAAAAAAAATTGACTCAGTCTAACCTATAATGTTGGCTGGGATGAGAGAGAAAAATGCCCAAGGAACATCCAGGAACAAGGCACCTGCAGCAAATGGGGCAGCCAGGAACTGAAAAGTTATTTTAAACAGTTTAGTCTTAATAAGAGTTTTACAACACTTGCAACACAAAAAGGTCAAGTAAGTGCCGAAGGTCAAACGTATCCCAAGAGTGTAACAAACACACGCAAAAAAAATGGCGAGACAAGGACGAAAGATAATTAAAAGGAAAGAAGGAGCAAACCACAACAGAGCACCCGCCAACCACCCGCAGTATGTTGTTTGATACAGCAACTTCATTATCCATGATAATGAAACATGGCATTTACATAGCTCATTTCCATAATCTATGATGCTCTATGCGTTTTGCCCGACATATTAATAGCCTACAATGGCATAAAAATATATGCAGGATTCATGCACAAGGGCACCTAAAATGACACAAATGTGTATATCCATGAATATAATGAGAGCGACAGTGACAGGTATGTATCGAAACAATTCGTGTAAATAGTTTTAGAAAAATAGATCAAATAAAAATATGGAAAAAAACACAGGAAAAAATACTTTTGTTTTGTTTCAGTAAACGTTTTATGGTACTTGCAACACAGCATGGTAATACGATCATATAAGTGCAGAAGTTTAGAGGTGTCACAAGAAAGAATTAACACTTACACAACGTTGTATGCGCTCACTACTGCTGGTGACTTTCCGATGCAACCAGGCGCACTTAACATAATTTTAAACAGAACGGACGCACTGCACTGAAGTAAATACCAAAGGCACTCATTCTATATGATAGCTGAATGGTTTATGTACCTCTACGAATTTTTAAATCGTGTTTCTTGGGCTGCCTGATTTTTTAAAATTTGAACAAATTCTACCACGGCTTCAAAATTCTAAACTGGTGCAGTACTTACGGTTACATGTAACGATAAATTGTACATAAATTGGACAATATAGCAATCATACGATAAATCGTTAGGTGTAACCACAAAATTGTACAAAATTTGAATGATAGAACGATGGTTTGGAGACTCCGTCGAGAAATCAAGCGCTGCTTGATATTTTCCGTGCGATCACGGTCACACTTGAGGGAGACGCGCTGCGATGTAGATTCACTTTGAAATTTGCCGCCACGCAAAACTAAACTCACAGCTCAAAATTGTTTAAATGATTATCGTAAGTAAAAACTGATTTCATATTCGGAATCAGCGTCTCAAAATAAGCAATGTTGCTCACGTGAAAACTGATTTGGTGCGTTATTATATATATTTTAGCAATTTTATTATTTAGTTGATCGTCAATGGAGAAGCTGTGCATCAAGGTCACTCGGTGCGTAATCTAGCTTCCGGTTCTACACACAACACAATTATCTCCTCAATCGATAGAAAACAGGACGATAGATTGGAACGTGTAAACAGTCAACACAGTTCAATAAAACGGACAGTTCTCTCATACGACGAATCTGATACTATTTATCGTAGCGTGTAACCGGAGCTTTAGGGCTTTTCACTATATGAGCCTGCGGTACTGTAAGTGTTAAACACAAAAAGAAGGAAGAGATATCAGGACAAAAAACGTTTGATACAAGAAAAAGAGCGAACTATAGCAGAGCACCCACCAACCACCCGTGAAAATCTTTATACTCTCAGTTCCATGACACTACATTGTCCAAAGTGTAATGAACGGTACGAGAGGACACATGTTCTACCATTGACAGCATCACTTGCTGCAGTCTATAGTGCAGCAGACTAAACCTTTGGCTCTACCATATGCCAGAGCAAAAATTTAAAAAAAATAAGCTGAGTTTTCCACATACTGTTTCCAAGACCCTGAAAAGACCAGAGGCTAATCAGATTAATCTTGACCGGTGTTCCCTCCCCCATGTCCAACCTCCCCTCCCCCTTCCCAAAATATAAAAAAACAAAACAATAAAGAACCCCCTCCCCCCGCCCACTACTCTAAAAAAACAAACAGAAACAAAACAATTCAGCCTATAACTCCAAAAAAACTAAAGACCTCTAAAGACCATACATTTATTCCAGCTTTCCAGAATGGAATAACTTGGCATCGTAAAACTAACAATGGAGTCACTAGCCAGATTCATACTCAGGTAGCCTTAACAGTACCGTACTGGAAAAACTAAATAATTGAGCCTTAATCAGTCTCGAAATAAACCGAACAAACAAAAATCCCCCTGTATGACTTGACCCACGACATAAAGATGGATGAAGAAAAAGACGAAATCCCTGCTCCTCCTCCTCCTTCCACTAAGGTAACACCCTCCCCCCCTACTACTACTACTACTACTACTACTACTACTACTACTACTACTACTACTATTACCTCCCCTCTTTATCCTCCTAAACAAATAAAACAAAGCAACAAAAAAAAAAATGTTTTAAAGAATATTTTAATTTTAGTAAAGCTTTACAGCGGTAGCAACAAAATGAAGTAATGTAAGTGCCAAAGATTAGAGGTGTTCTTATTGAATAACATAAAAACAAAAAAAAGCATAAGAGATAAGGACAATAGATGAAGTAAGAGATGCTTTTCAAAACAGTTCATACTTGCTCACCTGACTGGCAACAAGAACAATAACTCTGGCGTACAATCCCCGACGTTTGACGATACGATCGGAGATAAAACCACCCCACAGAACTCCGAGACTTCCCGAGACCAGCGGTATCCAGGACATGTAGGACCCTGTTGTCTCCTTGGGCACGTTTATGGCATCAAAGTAAGGCTGTGTGTTATAGGCCCACACATAGCCACCTAGTGACGATAAGAAGAGATGTTCATAGCTATGTATTATATAAGTTCACACAAAGCAACCTAGATATAACAAGAACAGATACTCACAGGTTTGTGTTAGTAGTCTACACATAGTCACATACTTCTAGATAACATGAGATATTCATCCACTGAATAACTATGTTATCTCAACATAGAAATGTGTTACACTACAACGCGATGGAATCAGGCGCACGTCATGTGGAATTATTGATTTAATCTTAAAGCTTGTTTGTTTGGAATTTGATGAAAAAATAGCCATCAATTTTCAATAGGAGTCAAGATATAAAATATGTGATTGAAAGAGTTGGAGGTCCCCAGGTGCCAGAAGAAAAATTACAGACAAAATTAGTCACAATGCAGTGGAATCAGGCACTCGTCAATATATGTGCATGTGGAGTTATTGGTATCATCTTAAAGCTTGTTCTTTTATCATGCTTTAGATGAAAAACATACCTATCTATCTAAAGCAGAAGTGAAGATATTTGAGATTGAAAGAGGTACGTTCACTTTGTTTCAGCGGTAAAAATAGCGTGAAAATGGCCGCCAAAGTTCGGTAACTTCAACAGCTAAAGAGTCTTTGAAAACAAAAAAATTACATATTTTCAATATAATTCACAAAGAAATGTGTTTTCATTTGGACATAAAAGGGTTGGACAAATAACCAAAAATTTTATTAAAATTGCGAAACTGGTGGGAAAATGCCTGTTTCCCCAATTTTGTTATTTTGAAGAGCGCCTGATTTCACCACGATGCCTCACAAATGGTTGCTAAAGTTTAATGACTTCCAAAGCATTACATTTTTTGTGCCCTTGACCAATGTTTTTCAGAAAAATCAACACAAAAATTATTTTTGATAGGACACAAAATGTGTTGGGCCAAAAAAATGTTTCTAATTCGACAAAAATGTTGGTTTCCTTGATTTAATTACTTCGACCAGTGCTTCACCACAAAGCCACAAATATTCACTCACTAAATAACAATGTCATCACAACATCTGTGATTCTTTCCATTTTCTACAAGCCAACTGAACAGCAGGTCCTCCCC